TATTGAAACATCGTGCCTCATCCGTTCATGTGGGTTATCGATCACATGGATTTTCACATGTAGTGCTATGGAGCAGCGCTTGCACGCGAAAGTTCAGTATCTGTCTGTCTGTCTGTCTGTCTGTCCCTCGGTCTATCTGTCTGTCTCTCTGTCTGTTTGTCCGTCTGTCTGTCTGTATGTGTAGAGTGTAGTGAATTTGTACATACATGCTGTGTATCTACATGTTTCATGTATTTACTGATGTATTCAATCAACTAGGCTGACATGAGCTTACATGGCAAAAACAAAAAGTGTGTACATATAGAACCAACGGCAGCTACAAACATATTGCTAGCTGTATGTCATATGTTATTGGACATATGTGCATGATCAAAGGCTCATGAAGCCAGGGAAATTACCCTGGACCATGTCGGTTAGGCGGCCGACGGCGCCTCAAGCAAGCCAAAGATGCCACGGGCGCATCTGTCTGGGGCAGGTCCTCTGCGATTCACAAGCATCTTGCTTGTACTTGTTTTTATTTGCACATCTGCCGTTCTTTCTCGTATTTCTAGAAAAACCCTGGGTGACTCAACGACTCAACAGCATTGACCCCAACCCCCAAAACGGCGAAGGCTCCATGTAGGGCAAGAAGTGGCCCCCATAGCGAACGTAGGCGCTGCGGAGGAAGAGCTCGGAAACGTCGACCCGCTCCGGTGTTCGAAGCTGCTTTAGCCAAGTGATCTCCACGCGGTCTGCCTCCTTCAGCCGACGCTCCTGGATAGATATATCATGTTTCTGTATATTTCAGGGGTGCCCAATCAAGAAACCAACTAAGCGACACCGCGATCGCATGCATGCATGGTGACACGGAGACAGGCATATGCAGACAGACGCAGACGTGTACACTAACACTAAACTTCCTCTCCATAAACCCGAATTTACCGAGCATGGAAGAGAAAAGGCCGTCCGAGGCTCCAAGTATGCCAGAGCCGCCTTGGATGAAGCAGCGGCTTTCCACCAATCGGAACTCGACAAACGCCAGCCGAGATCGATTGTTAGGATCGTGCCTGCCACCTTTCGGTGTGAGGTGCAGGGCGACAGCGGCTTGAGGCCCAGATCATCCAGGAAGGCCTCCCAGTTGAGCCGATCTGTCGTGAGGGCATCCTTGCTCTCACTGCCCTTCTCCTTTTCGTCCCGCAGCCAAGGAGGTGGCGGATCCGAGCAGACTCCGATATCATGCACTTCCGCCTCTTTGCCGTGGATGAAGCCCATAATGGCCACGAGAACGTCATGCTGCAAGTCGCTACCGACAGCCTCCCCAAAGTAGGTCGGGCATGTGAGACGCTGGCAAGGCCCAAACCCGCTCCGCCGACTGCTGCATGGAAAGAGGAGGCCATTGCCCAGCTCCCGCCACGGCACCACATCACCTGCATGGGGATTCTTCCCAACTTCTCTGGCATGTGTCTGTGCGTCTTGCATGCATGCTTATCTGTCACGAATAATGTCAACCATAGACGCAACGCGTCTACCTAAAGCATGCATGTGTAAAAAAGCTGATATAAACAAACACACACACGCACATGGCCCATGGCTCTCTCCGACTCTCTAGGTCTACATCTACTTCTGTTTCTGCTGCGTGACTATCTTCATCCCGAGGTTCGGCCTCCCTTCTCTTGCGGAGCGCCCACTGCTCCCGTCAAGAAATGATTTCGAAGACACGCCAGACTGGCCCAGACGCCCGACCTCCCAGCAAGTATTGATTTGGAAACCAACACGTTTAGTTGCAGGATTCTGCAAGTTTGGGAAGGTACACTTTCGAACGTAGGTGTTGTGGGGTTAGAAACTCAAGATTTGAGGGTCTAAGGCTTCAATCTGGAACCTGAGAGCTACAGGCTTCAAAGGCCCGCGTCAATCCGAAAAAGGCCTCAAGGTCGCTGTGTCCAGAGGCGCAGGCTGCTGGCCGTCTCCTGGAGGGAGTGTCACTGGACGTGCTGAGCTTGCGGCTCTGTTGCTGCACCTGTTGTGCTGCTGCAGGTGATAAATGCTGATGATGATGTGATGCTGACTAAGGTGACGGTGATGATGGTGAAGATGATGATGATGATGATGATGGTGATGATCATGATAATGATGATGATGGTGATGATGATGGTGATGATGATGATGACTATGGTGATGGTGATGATGAGGACGATGATAGTGATGATGATGAAGAAGATGATGATGATCATGGTGATGATGATGATGATGATGATGATGATGATGATGACGATAGCGATGATGATGGTGATGATGATGGTGATGATGATGATGATGTTGATCATGATGGTAATGATTGTAGTGGTGATGGTGATGATGAGGACGATGATGCTTAGACTGGCGATGGCGACCACGATGTTGATGGCGATACGGGCAATGTTGTTACTTCAATTTATCTATGCTACCCCTGCTCGTGCTTCTGCGCTTGTGTTTTATTATGACTGATGTCGTCGTTCTTGTGGTAAGTTGTTGTTGCTGCTGACGCTGGTGTCGACCATGATGCTATTGTCGTGGTTGTTGTTGTTGCGGTTAGTACACAGAACAATGAGCTTGCAGACTTGTGTTTGTTCGGTTTCTGAATCTCTTCTCGTGTTTTGACCACACTTGAACCCTTCTGCCTCTAGTTAGTGTTGGCTGGGCGTCTTCGAGTTGCGATCGTCGACACACTGACCTCTCACTAACATCTTGGCCTTTCTCTCGGACTGCTGGATGCATCCAAGGTGAACCGAACCCGTGACGTACCATCTCCCTAAGCCCCAGATCCCAACTCCAGTCCTGACTTTTCTCGAGCCTGCTGGTCGACCGGCTCTGCATCCTGCCTGCGGAATTGGGCGGAAATGGACGACGGAGCAAACGCATGGAGGGATTTGGTAGCCGCTTGATGCGTTTGCCTGTGCTGGTAGGGACGATGCACTGTCGCTCGCAGGGTACACTTCAACCGAATGGTGATGCTGACCGTGCTGATCATGATTGAAATGCTAAAGAGTTTGTGAACTGTGTATTGGTGTTTATGACGAAAGGCCATGACCCATTCGTGCACCGGCACTAGTACGTGTGCTACACTCTGCTGTAACAACGACAACGACGACTTCCAGTTTCCAGGACTTTTGCTCGTCCCCAACTCCAACAAAACCACTAACACCAGTTCAATACTTCTGATATCACTAGTGCTCTGACGATGTATCCAAGCAGGCACGTAAGCACGTTAAGTTAAGAAAGAATGTATGTATACATGTATGTA